TAAACAAGTGAAATGAACTTATTTCAGGATATTAAACTGTAAATAAAATTGAAATGCATATTCTTGTAGAGGGCAAGTTGTTGAATTTCTTCTGATATGGTAGTATGCAGGCTGCCGTGACTCTGAAATCCAGTCCATGGTTATGTGCTCAGATTCAGTTATCTTCTGAAAACATCTGAGTGCCCACCTTTGTTAGGCTCATGAGAACTCCAGTCCTGCATCCTAATGTCATCAGATTCCTTTGATTTTGTCAAGAAGCTGTATTTCAGATTTACAGCTTTGTCAAGACCTGTAGTAAATCCGTCAGTCATATCTGTTGGATGATCTGAAGTTAAAGTTAGCTCTTCTTTGAGCCAGGGATTAGACCAGATGACCTCTTGAGGTGTCTTCCAACCTACGTTATTCTATGATTATGCAGCAAGGCAGGATGCTTGCAGTGTGGTAGCTGCACAGTAGAAATCAGGTGGCAAGTGTTCCAAGAAGCTTTGAAAGTGGTGAAGGAGAAGGTGCTGAAACATGTTGTATTGGATACTGTGCAGACATGAATGACCTGCCCTGGGGGGGGCCTGTCTTCTGAACCAGGGTAGGAACCTAAGAGAGGACATGGGAAAATGTCCTCCTGCATGGAACATCAGTGTGCACCTACCAGTTCAGGCTTTGTGTGGATTTGGGTCATATCAGATGAGCTCACTGGGGCCCTGTTTTTTGCAGGTGTTACCTTACAAGAGCAGTTGTGATCTGTGCATTTTGAAATCACAGCATGAGCAAAGGAGAAAAGAACTTCTAATGCTTTGCTTCCCTGTTTGCAAACAGGCACAGGGCCTCGTAATGAAAAATGGAGCTTTTTGTTTTCGGTGCCTGGCTCAAGCTTGGCCCAGGGAGTAAAGAACAGAGACATGCAGTTGAAAAGAGTTGGCAGTTTTTCTGCTAGTTTTTAGTGAAAGAGTTCCTAAATTAGCTTCCTTGACAGTTTGAGAAGACAGAAAACATGAACTGATTTTTCACTTACGGGTCAAGCTGGAGTTACTCTGCCAGGCGCGAGCACAGGGAGCCTTTGCTGAACCCCCCTGGAGACTTTCCATCAACTTCAGTAGACTTGGAAATCCTTCAGGCATTCTGCATCCTACAGCCTCCCCAAAAGTCTCTGTGTGAAGTGAGTTCTGAAGTATCTGTTAATCCTGAATGAATGGGAAAAAGAAGCGTTGCTTCCCCAGCTCCTGCTTTCAGCGTGTGTCTAACACCAGTGGCAGTTATGACTGTGACTTGGTGCATTTTCTCTTTGCTTACAGGTGTCTCTGCCCAGCTAGTTAGCTTCAGCGTAATTTTTTCCTGTCTTCTCTGTGAACACATTAAAACCCCTCTGATGTCTTTTCTTAGGCACGTGCCCTCTAGTTCCTATCACATCTTCTCACTGGTTGGTTTAAGAAAAACATCAAACTCCCTTTCTGGAGAACTTGTGGTCTGCAAAGTGTTTTCTAGGAGTCTCGTTTGGGAGCTTGCCCTCTGCTTGGTGCTTTGCAGTACGTGGCCTCCCTCCTGCAGCTTTCAGCCACATGAAGGTGTACACGAGACTTTGAGGTTGGGACGGCCAACTGCCCTGCTTCTGCCACGTTCATATGTTGTTAGCATCCCAAACTGGGAATAATGGGCAGTGTACGTGGCTACTCTGCTGCCAGCTTATTTTGCACATGTTAGAACTTGGGCTACCTTTCAAGTGATGTTGATGCCACCCACAATTATTCTTATAGTGAGAGTACACTTGGAATTACAGTAAGTAATTGCATGGTATGATTTGAGCTGAAGGAAGTTACGCCCTTTCTGCTCGTGGGGTAAATTGTGACAAGTCTTAAGTAACAGCTACAGTCTTGCTGGATTTCAGAAAGCTCTTCTGAGAGATGATTTGGGACCTACCTACCCAACAAGCTTCCTGGCCAAAGCAGATCTGTGTTAATGGATTTGTCAGCCGTATAAACTGAAGCCTTGCTTGTGTCGCTCGAACTTGAGTTGAAGCTGTCCTGTCAGTGTATAATGGTTACAGGTATTCCTGAGGTCACTCCTTTAGGGAAACACCCAGCAATGTTAAAATGAAGTCTTTTTAACCCAGGAAAAGATTGATTCCTGGTCTGAACATCTCTTTTTAATAGTTGTCACTATGATTCTGTCAGTGGTTGTCTAGGCACAGAGCTGAGTATTGGAATGCTGTTTACATTAGTCTGGTTTCTTGCATAATTTTGTTTTCATATATATATAATTCTAGCCAAATCAGAAATAGGTACATTTAATTTAGATTAATTGTAATTATTTAACATTTCTCTTTAGGACAGGCTAGGCTAAGCAGAGGAAGAAAAGACGCTTTGTTGAAATGGGGAGAGAACAGTAGCTCCAGGACAGCTGGTACATTGGAATTAAGAGTCTGACTGGAGTTCAAAATTGGATGCTTAATATCATTATTACATGGAGATATTGATTAATGGAAATAAAAAATATCTTCAATATTTGGCAAATTAAATACATCGGGTTCTTAAAAGAAAATAAAGGCTTCATGTTATGAAGCTTTTTAGTGTCACGGTTCTGTTAATGCAATCAGTACCGGGATAAAGGATTAAAATGTCTTGCCATGTTGGATGGTTTTGAGTCTAGACATACACCAGAAAATTTATAAGAAAAAACTTTGAGTATGAAAATAATTCTCAGTGATGAAGGATTGCAATTGTTCTGTGAGAAACACAGGGAGCCAAACATCCCACCAATACACTGGGACTTAACAAGCAATCCTGCAGAAGAGAGACTCGACAACCAAATGTTTATCCTCTCAAATGTGAAGTTTCCCACAGTTGAGAAATGATATTTTAAAATCTTTGAGCAAGAACTGTATGTGCATTAATATGCATATACAATAAACTTGTTGAGTTTCTTGTAACACTTGGAAACTGTTTGCTAGTTGGCTGGGTGGTTAGGCTTATGACGATAAAAGCTTTCAATAAAGGAATTAAAATATTGGCAAATGGCCTTGAATGCCTGTTGAAACATGTCTGAGCAAAACACTCGGGTGGCTTAATGTATTTGGTGTGTTAGCAGTGGAGTTCTGGTGTCCTGGAACATGCTGGTTCTGGGAGTGTAAGAAGATGGGATCCCAGACTAATAGAACAAAATAGTGAGGTTTGAATATTCTTACTGGTTTTGCAGCTGTCTTTGGGTCCTACTTTCCATGTCTCCCCACATCCATATTATCCATGCTTCATGAAATTATCTTCCTGTCAGCTTGAGGAGAATTGAGGTGTTTGAAATGGAGCTGTAGGCCAAGTGTTGTCCAAACCATTAATGGCATGCAGTAACGGGCTAAGCTTGTATTGGTGGGACTCAAAAGAGCTGATTTATTTCAGGCACTGTGTTGTATGAACTGGTTTCACGGTCTTTTTGAGGGCAAACTGGTGTGTTACAGAAGATCTAAGCTCATAGTTTAGTGCTGCCAAGAGTCTGAGGTCCTGGTACAACTGCTTCCTCCTCAGTTACGCGGGCCTGTGCCAGCTTTGTTGTTCATCAGAGGCATTGCAGAAACAGCTCAGCTCTCTTAAGCTAGCAGAAGATTACCACTTCTTAACCAGGTTGGCTTTCACTGGGCTAGCAAGTTGAGTCATTTCAAGGAAGGATCAAGAGTGGGCAGCCAAGGCACAGAAAGAGCTGGCGTGGATCAATCTGAACTGTGCTGAACGGCAGCCCCTGCATCTTCCTCTTCTGTTGTACATGTGTTTATCTTTGATTGCTGTTATTTTTATTCTGCATTTTAAATGTATTTTGTCTATTTAATGAGATAGAGAAAGAACACTAAAAACAGGAACATTGTTGCATTATTCCCTCTTGGAACTGTGCTTTGTCTGAAAGGCAAATTTATCAGGAGAGATTATTTTTCAAGAGAGCTGCTGGGATTAATGTCATTTAATCATCAATTGCACAGGCTTCAAACCACCTGACAGTTTTACAAACTGTAAAGGTGTTTTAGTTCATTTTCTTTATCAAAAATATTTGAGCTAGGTTTATGAGTTTCCTAGTGCTGTTATGTAATGCTAATTTCTGCTCCTTAAGCACAAGTGTGCTTGGAGATCTGAGTTTATAAACAGGCATGGTTGCATATGGTAGTGGAGGACTGGACCTTGGAGCATCTTCATGAGATGGCACTGCTTACCCAGAGACAGGCTAGACACAGCTTCCAGAGTAAGAGGAGCTACTGATGTCTGGGAGCTCCTGCTGTTATCTTTCCTGGGAGACTATCATCATTTGTCTTTCCTCTGGTCTCTAACAGACTTATTTGGCTGTCATGGACGTTGTGGAGACTTTCATGTTTTGAGTCTGTGTTCTAGAGTCTGCTGAAATACTTATTTTGAGTGAAAGAATATAGCTGAGTGTATAGTGAAAGGTTCCTGCTGTTTAGAACTTAAATACCCAAGGAGAAAGGACCACCAAGATGGTGACAAGCAGCCTGCTCCCTTTGTAAGCTTTCATGTTGTAGATACCTACTTCAAAAGACTTCATATGGTATTCATTCTACATATGTATGGGACACAAAACATTTCCTAATACCCAGCAAAATGATAATCTATAGTGAAAGATCAAAAGCTGCCTCTACAATATAACACAGGAAAGAAGAAATACTGCACTTTAAAGAGTCCAAGTACATTGATCACAAAGTTCAGCTGTTTTGTTGGGATGAGCTGGAGATATCAAGGTGGTTGTGCTTTTAGTAGCTTTTGTGAATACTGATGGTTTGCTCTATCACAGAACAGTAAGTATGAAAATGGTGACCTTTGATAGCTAAGACCTAAATTTGGACCTAATGAAAAAAGGTGCAGATTGACATAAAGAGAAATTTAAATGGAGACCATTATTTTGTTTGGACCAAATGATTTTCTGAAAACATGATTTAAACTTAAAACAATTTATCAGTAGTCAAATAGTATGTAATGTAGGTAATTGCATCTCTCTCTCCTTTCCTTTTCAGGTGGCTATGGTAGAAGTTCAGCTAGATGCAGAACATGACTACCCTCAAGGTCTCTTGATAGCCTTCAGTGCCTGTACTACCGTCCTCGTTGCAGTTCACCTTTTTGCACTCATGATAAGTACCTGCATTCTTCCAAATATAGAGGCCGTTAGCAATGTGCATAATCTCAACTCTGTAAAGGAATCTCCTCATGAGCGTATGCATCGGCACATTGAGCTCGCGTGGGCATTCTCTACTGTCATTGGGACTTTGCTCTTTCTTGCAGAGGTGGTGCTGCTGTGTTGGGTGAAGTTTCTTCCTTTAAAGAAGAAAACTGACAATCCTCTCCAGAGCAACAGTTCTACCATCACATCAGGACAGGCAGCAGCCATTGCATCAACGTCTATTATGGTTCCCTTTGGATTGATTTTCATTGTGTTCGCAGTCCACTTCTACAGGTCACTGGTGAGCCATAAAACAGACAGGCAATTCCAGGAACTGAATGAACTTGCTGAATTTGCACGGCTCCAGGATCAGCTGGATCACAGAGGTGATGCCATCTCCTCAGCTGTCACCCATTTTGCGTAAACCTGTACTTAAAATAAACCCACTGTTCTGCTTTTGCCTTGTTATGTTGACTCCCCTGTGGATGAACTGGTCGAACTGTTGATTACTGTTTAAAGAGAGATTATAAATGTTGTTCTAACCCTTTAGAGAGGAAAAAAAATGTTGTTTCTTTCATAAAATGTTGCCTATCTGACATCTGAAGGAATGGATGGAGGGGTGTGCTTGCACTGCACGCGCATCCCTCCTCTTGTGAGCACTGGCTGGATTTTGAATGATGGCTGTATAAATACGTGGAAAATAACATTGTAAATTTGGGTATTTGTTAGGGATGGATAGAGAAGCTTTCCCCCCCCCCTCTTTATTTGATGTTGGCATTTACTAGAAGATACTGCTTGTCTGATCCATATTGCATGGCATGATACAAATTACTTGGGATATGCAGCAATTAGCACTTGGTTTCAGTGCTAGCGCTGTTCTCTCTGGAAAGCCTGACAGATGGTAGAAGTGAAAGCTTTTCCACCACTTTCCCCAGTATGTTTTTGCTGCCAAGTAATTATTACTTTACTGATTTCTCCAGCGCCTTCTTCCCGTGGCACTTACACATTTGATAACTTGCTAAACACCCATGGCTAGTCTGACTGCGATGTGGTATGGCCACATGACTAGGAATGAGACTCTACTCTTCTTTGGAAGAAAATAAAAGCAATAACTGTTTTAAAGTTCTCACGAGCCGGCACGTATTATCTGGAGAGATAAATTTGCCTGTTTCCCATTTAGGAATCTTTTTTTAAAAAGAAGGAACTAGATGGAAATTATCACTGGATAATTTTTTTGCTTGAAAGTCAGAACCACTGCTGTGTTTTTTCTCCAAGCCAAAGTAGTAATTATTTTGTACTTTTATATGAAAAATATATTTTTAATAAATCCTCAGATACAAGCAGCAAAAGGAGCTTTCTCTGCATTGGATTCCCAAGTAATTAGCTGTGCCTTGGTCTTCCTTGTTTAGAAAAAGTCTTCTCCTTGCTGAAGTGTTGTATTTAATAACTTGTTAATACATTTTTTGCTTCCAAAGGATCTGGAAGGCTACTTTTCTTTATGTAGATTTATTTATAAAAGTAGGTTATTTGTAATTAATATTGCAGCTTACTTTCAGACACACATGTTTGTGGCAGTGAGGCTACTGTGTCGTGGGGTTTTTATTTCCTCTTTAGGCAAAAACTTCCATTTGGTGTCTTAGATAAGAAGCTTTCCAAGAAAGGTTGCAGCAGTTATCCTGGGCTGCTTCAGTAGTTCTAGCGATGTCTAGAAGTGGGATTTTTTGGAATGCAGTTCTTCTGTGGAGCAACTTTGGGCTTTAATGGGTAAAAGCTGTTTTTTGAATACAAACTGAGACAGGTTTCAAGTCTCACAGAACAAAACTTGACCTTCCTATTGTAGCTAACACCGTGGAATAGAAACCTGCAATTTTGACCTTAGACAGGAGCGAAGGTGACAATACAGTGGAGCTGTACCTGACTGACCTGGGCTGAAGGTGGTCTCTTACCCCCAGCCTCCATCTTGGGTTATCCCGACATATTTACAAGCTGTAGGATTACAGAATTAGGGTGGCAGAGTATGGTTACTACTCATGAAGTGAACGGGACTGATTTCTCATGTCAGCACCGCCGCAGTGGAAAGTGTTGACAAGGTTACCTGGGATGCACTTGTATTCTGAAAAACAACCATTCAAAAGTATTGCTGGGCTTTTTTTTCAGCAACATTCTTGGTTCACAAGCAGGAAACAGCTTTCCACTTGCTGTTTCACAAGTTCTTGTGGCATGCAGAGGCCAAACTGGATTTTCTCTGGCTCTGCCCTTACATTATCCTTCAAATATATTCTGTTACTGACATAAATCTGCTGATGGTGAGAACTGTGACTCCAGTCCCACAGGTGCTCACTCATGGAGCACTGGAAGGACTATGTCAGTAAAGGCATTAATGAAGCAGCATTCCAAAACACAAAATCTTAGTAGTAGGCAGGACGTTTTGTTTTCCCAGCCTTTACTGGAATACCAGGTGCTGTCTTGGGGAAAAAGATTCATAAAAAGCCTCAGTAAAGGAAGAAAACCTGACTCAGTATTCACGCTAGAGCAAATGGTTGAAAGGGTGCTGTCAGGTTTAAAAATGATGCTTCTGTCTGTAAACTGTGTATTTTAAAAGTTATTTGAATGTAAGTCCAGAAAATATATTTTCCAAGCTTATTTTGTAAAATTACTTGCTGTCCTGGATAAGTAGCTGAATTTCTCTTTTATTTTGTGGATCTTTTATGAAGTGATAGAGAAGTGTGGGGGTTTTTGGTTTTGTTTAAGCAATACAGAATTGGAAGCTAATGGCACAGCCTTATTTTTAACTTTTTCAAGGTGGTTGGTTCTGCTATTACAGCTGCTTTTCTGACTACTTTCTGCACTTTAAGCCATGATATCGACTATGTGTCTTATTTTCCAGCTGTGGAAATGGTCATGAAAGTTACACCTTGGGCACAGTCTCCTAAGGGTGTGCCAGAGGCAGTAACCAGACCCAAAGCGTAAAAAATAAGAGTGCACTTAGATTTTGTTTTGTTTTTTTTTTTAATCCCTTATTTATACTAACGGTATTACGTATTTACCTCAAGCATTTTCAACATTGGTTATTGTATATCACTTATTTAGATATAAAATAATGAAATAAAATATACTCACTTGTTGCTGATTATTTGTTATCTAGGGACCTAAAATATGCTTATTTTCTCTCTATCCCTTACCTCTTTAGCTATATTGTGCTAATCCTATGTGTGTTTCTGAGGATCTCTTAAGTGTATGCAGTTACACATTTCAGTCACCATAGGAAGATGAAATGTCCTGTTCTCACGGGCAGGTATAAGGACTATAACATGGTTGACATAGTTTTCCTTCTGTCAGCACTGTTTAAATCTTGGGACTAAGCATGTTGTATTGTTATTCTCTTTGAGTGCTTAAATAGAAAATTAGGTTATCTTTCAGCCTAGAAAACGTGAAGAGTCAAGGGACCAAATGAGCTATAAACAAGAGATGATACTCGGAAGCACAGTATAAATCAGGTGAATTAATGACCCACTCACCTAGTTTGTTTTTCACCAGCCAGCTGCAGATCCATCTAGTTTGAGCTCCCCTTCCTTTGATCTTGTGGGTGACGCTCTATGTGGCTGGCACATGGTCCTTGTGTTGGGTGGAAGTGGAGCAGCCGGCACAGGGCTGTGGAGTGCTGGAGGTCTGGTGGGTGGGCTGGCCGAGGAGCAGAGCTGGGGTGAGGGCTGGTGCTCTGCGTTCCCAGGGGATAGGGAGGAAAACCAGCATAGGGAGAGCAAGTAAAGTTGCATTGATTAAAATATTAATTGAAACATGATCTGTTACAACTTCAGAATTCATCTTGAGTCACAGGTATGTATCAGGGTAAGTTTGGGGGCAGTGGGGGGGGACAGTTATTTGACTGTACTTTTCTAGTGCTTTGCTTTTACAGCAGGTAATAGAAACTGCTGCTTCTTTAAGGCAACGTGCAAGACCTCAAAACCAAGAGGAGTGTGATTTCTTTACAGGAGGAGTAAGCCAAAGAAGCTGGGCAAAGAGTCACTGCGTGTCTTCCAGCATTTCACTGCTTGTGTTTTTTCTCTCCCTTTTTGTTTTTTTGTTTTTTTTTTTTCCTTTCTTTTCCAAAATATTGGGGGGTGGGAGGAGGCTTCTGAGCAAAGCCACCTGCAGAGTGAAGCATACAGGAGCAGCCTTGAGGGGGAAGTGAGGCAGGCCACAACACGATACCACAGTGTGGATTTGAGACACAAATGAAGAAGTAACCCAGGATCGTGTTCTTATCTTGCGTCTTTTCTTTTTTCTTCAGCATCCGGTTATTAATTTTGGCTGTCATCAAACATCGCCTGGGCCTTTGCTAAAACACCATCTGGATCAGCTAGTTCAATCTGAATAAAAAGAATTCAAATCAGTTATGCAGTGTAATTGAAAAAGCTTAAGGTTTTATAGATCATGATTATTTGAGCATTAACAGAGAATCACCAGTGTATCGGGACTTTTTATTACAGCCTTTCAATTACTGTTCTAGAAACAGCGCTACACTTTCCTAATTTTATTAGCCTGTTGAACATCATCTCCTTGAAATAGCTCTGCGTGGAGTGGACTGATTCTTCTTTAACAAAACACATTCTTAGACAAAACTGGCTTTGATTTGTAGCCTCTTGACAAAACCTATTGTTTCAAAAGGTAATTGCAGTCACCCAAGTGAACATCAGAGCTCAGAGAATGCAGGAGTCTGGAGTCAGGGAACCTGGATGGTTGCAGATTCTTGAGAGGGAAGTGGCAAAGCCCTGCCAGGAATTTGGCATCTCTCTCTGACCTGCTTTATGTCCTGATGCTTTCTGGGGTGCTTGTGTGTGTGTGGCGTTCTCCCAGGCAGAAGACACCCAGTCCTTTTCTCATTTATTTTGTTACGCTTTCTGAAGCATTGGCTTCAATAATTCTAACAGCAAAGAGCCCAAATCCACCATGTTGTGTCTTCCCTGACTCCAGCAATGTTCAAATTCTGCCTTGGTGCAACCCCATCATCTACGTACTGGGCTCCTTCAAAGCCTGTGACAATCACTCTCTAGTTTTCAGCCATTTTCTGTCCTGTGCATCCCCATGTTTGTTCCTTTCACCTGCTAATGAAGACACCCAAGGATGCTTCTCCCACAAAGCTCAGATCCTCACTGCTGGCCTCTTGCCAGGTGAAAACTGACTATTTAGTCCATCTCTGGTTATGGCAGTTTCTAACGCTCACCCCACAGCTACTGTTCTCCAACAGCTGCTTCCGACAGTAACTTGACAAAAGCTTTATGAACAGCTGAAGTCAATTTTTCTCCTTTTATCTGCTACTTCCTTTGTATTCCGAGATCAATAAATCTCTTCCGTTTTTTTTTAAGCACAATAAGGGTAGTGAAAGTTGATGCTTTCTTTTTGCTCATAGAGCAGAAAAAAATTGTGTCATAACTTGATCTTCAGGGAGTTAAATAAACAGC